AAGTATTTAAAAGATGGAACATTCAACCACAATGGGCATAATGTTAGAAAGGTTTGAATGTTTTGCCTTCAGAAAGACTATAGCATGCCCTTGACATTTCAAGATAGAAGTCCTGACATCTCTGCCCACATTAAAACTGTCCCTAGGTTTACACAGGTGCCAGGGCGTTTTCAGAATTACACCTTCACCTGTCAAGGCTCCTCATACACACTTTCACACACAAGACCTGTTTTTCTTCCTTTCCCTTTATCTGGTGGCCTCTGAATCTGTTTCTAGGGCAGTCCTAACGGAACGCCCACACTGGGCAGTTCATACAATAGAAAATGTACCATCTGTGCTTCTGGAGACTGTTCAAAATGGGTGTGAATGAAGCTGGTTCCTGTCCCACACCCCGCACCTGGAGTCCAGTGCTCTGTGGACACTGGAGTCCCTTAACTCCTGAGAGCCTCAAGCCGATCTCTGCCTTCATTTCTCCTTGCATACACATCCACACTGCCTCATTTTTATACTTGTCGTACGCAATTAGAAAACACCCTAGTGACCTCACACTGAGTACATGTGCGATAACTCCATTCCAAAATAAGGTGACATTCTGAGGTATTGAAATTAGTTAAGTCTTCAATATATAATGCAGGGGGTGGGGGCCCAAGTTCACTCATGGCAGTCATTTTCAAGTTTGGAGCAGGGATATAGCTCAATGGTAGAGGACTTGCCTACCTAGCATGTAGGCTTAACCCCAGCACTGTGAAAACCACACACACACAAACTAGTATCTCCAAAGACCCCCGAACCAGGGTCAACTACTGAATCCTCTATGCCTAAAACAGACCTTCGCACACAGGAGCTCAGCTAAGAATGTTACTGAATCAATGAGTGAACAAATGAATAAGACTACAAGTGAGAAAAAAAAAAAACTGGAAGCTAAGGTGAATCATCAGCTAGGTTGAATATTGCCTTCCTTTGTGGAATTAGTAAGAATTACGATTGTGCCCTGGCAAAACTACAAAATACTCCATGCTCTGTGTCCCTCTAACAAATCATCCAAAACACAAGCATCAAAACCTCAAACATAGCTAATAGATGCCTGAGTAAACACACATGCTAAAATAATTTCTTTCTTAACAACAGGAATGAGACAAGGGTAGCCCATGACTTCAGTTTAAGTAACTCAAGGAATGGGCGTGAGAATGAAAGACACCAGGCACAAGACTAGCAGCTTGGTCCATCACAGCAGTCTCTCAGCAAACCAGTGCTCCAGCTCTACACTGGATGTATTTCCTGTTATAATCTTCTTAATTTAAATAACCAGTCCCTTTTAATAAACTCTAAGATGAACCGAACTCCACAGCAACCTCAGAATAACAAGCTCCTGTTTGCAGTAACACTGTAACACCTTATCTCAATAGATAACAGCCCCACAAGGAAAGTGTTCTGTTCTATTTCTCCTAATCTCCTCATTCAAATCCTATCACCATGAATTTCCTGGATACTTGGCTTTAAAATACTGTATGACTATAAACTTTAAATCCAAGTCCGGGATAGGTCTACATTCATTATGACGGCGGCGTCTTGAAATGTTGAATTATTATCTTCAATTTCCCTTGGCCATTTATTGTAGCTGCCAAAATGAAATGGTACACCTTAAAGGCAACACTAAACTGAAGAGCGAATAATAAAGTCTCTTCGATGTTTCATTTATAAAAGCTTATTTTTACACCATCACATTTTGTACACCCTCTGAAATATATATCACTTTGTGAAACTGACATTTTGCATGTGGAGGTCCTGCTGAGACCATGTGCTAACTTCAAGGCTTCCTGAGAGGGAGTAAAATGCAGCAGCATCTTTCCACCTTTTAAGAACCAATGCCAGCGTCTGGAGAGATGTCAGTGGCCAAGATCATACCTTGGTCTTGGAGAAGATAAAAGTTCAGTTTCAGCACCACGTGGCAGTTTACTACTACTCCTCCAGTTCCAGGGGATCCAACACCCTCTACTGCCTTATGTGGGTACTGCACCCCTGTGATGCACAGTCATACATGCAGGCAAAACTCACATACATAAAAATAAATCTTAAAGAACCAGAACTGAGTTGGGTGTGAGGGCATCAACCCGCCCTCAGCATTTGGGAGGCAGAGGCAGTAAGAGTTTTAGAAGTCAGGTCTTTGTAGACATCACAGGACAGCCAGGGCTACATAGTAAGACCCTGTCTCAAAAGAGGGGCAGGGTGGAGCGGGAACAAGAATTGGCTGGGTTTGGGCCTTGGACGGGAGGTAGGTGGGGTTAAAAGTTAGAAAGTCAAGTCACTTCACTGTAGCTGCCCCTTTTGTGGATAGCTTCACTAATTTGGGCTATATTTTAAACTGTGCTGTAACTGGGGATGGAGTGCTTGCCAAGCATGCTTGAGGGCCTGGTTCAATCTCCAACGCAAAAAATGAAATTAAAAAATGACACCCTAATGTAAGCATCCCAAAAAGGCAATCAAGTCAATGGACAGGGGCTCCAAGGAGCAGTCTGGGACAATGAGCTCACTTTGACAGCAAGACAAATCTCCAAACAAAAAAAATTTCAAAAGATTTTTAAAAAATCCTGCTAAGAAACCAAATGTGTCAAGTTCTACTTAACTCTATGTAAAGGCACAGCCATCAGTGACAACTCTAAGGCACCCATTAACTGAGCAGCACATGGTGTGTAGTCCCTAGACTAGAGTGCAAGGCGAGAGGGATGCTCACCTCAGGAAAGTCCACTCAGCACTCACACAAGCCAGTGAGGTCACTGGGAGGGCCCTGAACCGTCTCAACAGTGGACCGCCATGCTGTGCGGCTTGGTGCTTCTTTTTCTTCCTGCTGTATATGCAGCCGGGCTTTAAAAGTGTTCAGAATCACTACCCAAATCCTTCTCGTTACTGATACTTTGAAAAGTCCCAAGTTCTGGGGATTTATTGTATGAAACTGTAATTTAATAGAATCATAAACTGATTAATCCCAAAGTATCTTTAACTTCAATAACCTACTTAAGAAAAAAGTGTCTATCTTCAGTACACTGTCCATTTCTGAAGTACTCATGTTTCTAAACAACTTTAAAAGCTGTAATTAGAATACCAGTGCATCTTAGTAACTGAGTAGATAATTCAGTTTCCTACAAACCCACCCACTTGATATGACCTAATTCCAGAAATGTAAAAAATGATTCAATCTTCACATTTTAATTTAACATATTCTACCTCCCACTCTGTAACTATGAGCAAGAAAATTTTATTTAAAATATTAAAGATTTCATTTGGATCAATATCTACTACCCACAGCTGCAACCTCTCTGATGTATTGATTCCCAAGATGATAAAGCACACAGTTAACACCAACCCTTAGAGAAAAGCATCACTTGGAATAACTTACCAATGACTATTTTGTAGTCTAGATGAGCCCACCACTCCGTGTAGTTCTGGATAAGGCTAGTGAGCGCAATTTCCCATACTTACACAGCACAAGGGCTGCAAACATCACCTCCAGAACTGAGCACAGTGTTTGGCAGCGTGGACATCAGTGTATTAATTTATTAAACAAATAGCCCAATAAACTGCAGCCATTTAGCTCCTTGGTATGCTATAATAATTACTTCAAATTCTATGTAATAAAACAGAATAGACCCAAAATCTTATTTTTACAAGCAAATGCTGAAAGAAATATTTAAAGATCTCCAGTTTAATGGGATGTAGAGCTGGACTTTCAGAAACAAATACTTTAGTTAATGATTTTCTGCAATAGAGATAGTTTTCAATAAAATTTTTTTCTTTATGAAATTTAAAAAGAAACACAAGATATAAGTTTCTTTGCAATGAACATTAAGAATGCATTCTAGCCGGGCGGTGGTGGCGCACGCCTTTAATCCCAGCACTCGGGAGGCAGAGCCAGGCGGATCTCTGTGAGTTCGAGGACAGCCTGGTCTCCAAAGCGAGTTCCAGGAAAGGCGCAAAGCTACACAGAGAAACCCTGTCTCGAAAAACCAAAAAAAAAAAAAAAAGAATGCATTCTATAATTATCTTAATAAAGCACTTATTTCTCTAATGAAGTTACTTTAAAACTAACTAGAAGTTTGAGAGAATTAAAATGGCAAAGAGTGAAATAACTACAAGTATTCATCAATGATTTTACACTTCAAAAAGTATCTGGTACCAGAGTTAAGAGACTTTTTGCATCTATAAGAGAATTACTCTCCACATATCATAGATTTTAACATGCCTTACAAAGCCCATGATAATTTAAGACCATTTTCAATATCTGCTACCATGAATCAAGAAATTTATATATTCAAAGTTAGTTGTGGAAAATTAATCATGGGCAATTTCAATAACTCTTATTCTCAAAAATTAAAGAACTTAGATATACTTGGCATTCCTACACAGGATGACATGGGCTGAGAGCAGCAGGCTATATGGGCTCAGTCACTAAAATGGTTTGTTTGTTTATTTTAAAGATTTATTTATTTATTATGTATACAGTGTTCTGTCTGCATGTACACCTGCACGCCAGAAGAGGGCACCAGATTTCATTACAGATGGTTGTGAAAGTGGTTGCTGGGAATTGAACTCAGGACTTGTGGAAGAACAGCCAGTGCTCTTAACCTCTGAGCCATCTCTCCAGCCCCCTAAAACAGTTTAATAAGCAGAATTCTCCATAACAAATATTCTAGAAAGATAAATCAGAATGGAAATACAATGTGATTACTCCTAAGGGGCAATACTTAATAAAGAAAGTTGGGTCAAAATATTCCTAAGTACATATGCCTAAGAAATATATAGTCAAAAAAAAAATCTAAGAGTGAAACAAGAAAACTGAGGGGCATGACTCATAAATGCTGTCTATTGGAAGGAGCTTCTCACGCCTACCTCCTCATCTGGAGAACATGTTCACTTTCTCTGTGTACAGCAAGAAGCAAGTGAGCCACACAGCTACAACCCTTATCAGGAGGGAATCAAGCCAAAGCCAGCCAGGACACACAAACTCAGTTTCCACCAGTGGTAATGAGAATGTTTTATTGTAAATGGAACATGAAGAATTAAAGGACAGCCTTAAGGTTTCAATTCTGCACTTTGAATATCAAGAAAGCAATTACTCCAAAAATCACAGAACCATGTTGAACTAACTAAACAGAAAACAAAGTGGGTATTTAAGTCATTGCATTTATCATCATTAGTAGAAACAGATGTCCTGATAACTCCAGTCTACAGATAGCACATTTCATAATATCATTATTCACTTAAAACACTACAAATGTTTACAAAGAACATTTGGATTCCACAATTGCTTACAGAATATCTTACAATATTAAAAACATGATGCTCTATATGAAAATCAATAAGGACAACTTAATCTTTCTCAGCAAAAAAAGATTCAGTATCCCAAATTTAATGTTTAAATTTATATATGAATTCAAAAAGGAATCCATTTAAACCTCACATTGCCACGTAACTACCTGTTTTGTAAACTGATAAAAACGATGTACTTTTTGGAAACATGTCCATCAAAACCAAAAAGTTAATGTTTACTTTTTCCTTTACTAGCAACGTTTGGTGTCTTTTTCTGTTTGGGTTCCCAGAGCGCGTTTTTGACAAATCTTGAGGCAGCACCTCTGTCCAGCTTGGCAGCCTTTTTCTTGTCTGTTATTTCTTTAACTCTGTTCATGTAGACTCTGATTCTTTCCTTAGAAATAAAAAGAAAGAAAAACAAAAGGCAATGATTTCCTGAGCTGTTCACTATTGCTAGGTTTTATTATCCTCTTTCTCAGTGAGTATTTATTGTCCATTAAGTCCATGGTACTAGTGAGTGCAAATGAACAGGATGAACACGCCCCATGCTTTCTCAGAGCTGAGAGTCTAGGAAAGAAACTTTAAACTCCCTCCAGTGGACATGGAGGTGCATCCAGCACTTGGAGAGTAGAGGCAGGAGGATCAAGACTTTAACATCATCCAGTTTGAGGCCAGCTTGAGCTCCACAAGACCCTGTCTAAGCAACAAAGAGCCAAATATTTTAGAAGTGTTCTGAACTCTTCCAGAGAAAGCTCATGCAAGGCTCGCACTAGGGTATCACTATAGCGTTGAACAATAACTGGCTTATATATAGCTCTATTGTTTTAATTAACATTATCCTAAATTCTCATTTTAACTATTTTGTATCTGAAGAGTAAATTCTAAAATCTGAGTTCTACACTTACATCAACAAATTAAATTCTCCCATCATTTTTCTAAACAGAAAATGGGTGAGGCAGTATTTATATCTATTTTATGTTACTGTCTAGTGTCACAATTAAAATAGGCAGAATGAAATAGGAGATCTTTTTATTCAGTTTCATAATTTTGACTGGAAAGTATGTGAAATTTTCTAATAAAATACACAGACTTTAAAGTTAAGAAACATAGTAGTTTCCTGGACCACTTTAAATCTCCTGAGAATATTACTCAGAATAAATAAATCTTATATTTCAAATGGTGAAATAAAGCTGATGAAAACCATAAAATATAGTAAATGACTGATCATTACTCAAAAACAAGTTTCACTGAAATAAAACAGATGAAACACACACGGTAAAATACAAAAATCTTACAAGTGTTTTATTATCAAAACTGAGTAACTGCTCAAAATCCTCTACTGGCTCCTTAGTCTCTCCTGTAAGAGCCCAACCCTTACGAGGCAGCACATCCACCCTCGTCCTGCCCTGGGACCTGCACCCTGCTTATTGCTCTGCTGACAAACATCCATCCAGTTACTCCCTTCTAGTCTGCTCAACTGTCAATCTTGTCTTCACCATTAACACTGGAACTTGACCCAGGTACTCCAGTTCGCTATACCTGCTCTGCTTTTTCTTTTCCCCATAAACTACCTTTTTAGCATCCTACACAGTCAGTACATGCAGTGTTTATCTTACTGTGTGTTTCCCTTCATTCTGGGTGTGGCATCTGCCACATTCCTCAGCTTTTTCTCTGAAGCATTACCTCACTTGAAAATGATGCCTAGCTCTTAGTAGGCACTCAAATATCCTTGGATAAATATGGTGACTATTTTCTCACTTGTGATGCATATGACAAATAGCAAATAGATTTCCTCTAATTCTGTGATCAATTAGTAAAGTCGGTTGCAAGGTCAGAAAAGGGTAATAGACTTAAGAATGCTTTTTATTTGCCAATCCTTTTCCAGAAAATTAATGTGCTCTCCATAAAGTAGATCTTAAAGGAAAACGAAGACAAATGATCTTATCCTTTTACAAACACAATATTGAGTACTGTAAATAACTTTGTGTTGAAAAATCATTTCTTAAAAGGACACTATCAGAAAGCTAAAAAGATGACCTACACTTCTTAAAGCCAGTACTGTAGGTCAAATAAAATCTATAGATATTCCTTTATGCCTTTCTCTTAAAATTTTTTCACAACTGCTATATTTAAGTATGATGTTATTTTCCCTCAATAACCTTAAAAGAAGAAAATATCCTGGTCTATGCATTTTTTTAATGAAGAAGGCTGAATTACTCAGTTTATTTCTAAGTGCTTTACTAAGATGTAAATAACACATTCACTGGCTACTAGAAGACTTGAAAACAAGGATACAATGTCAAGTGTGTTTTGCATATATATGTACATTATATTTTATGTGCACAAAGAATAAATTCATTAAAATTCTTATTCATAAAGCCAAGTCAGTAAGGTAACTATGTTTGATTTCTATTTTTCTCCTTCGAATTAGATGATTTGATTTAATATTTGAAGTCAGCAAAAATTCCAAGATATTAGATCTTATTTAGTGTACTTATACATCTAAATGGAATACATACACAAACGTAGAAGATTTATTACGGGTTGTAAATATGTCACTGATGCAGAATTACTGGACAGTATACATATAGCTGGTGCCAAAAAAGCTTTTAGCTTTGTTGCTGAACTGAATTCTTTACTGCTGAGAAAATGAGTTAATGGAGGAATTGAAAAGGTAGGAGAGAAATTTCCCCGTCTCTGCTAGTAAATCAAATGAATACACTTTTAAGAATTGTCTAAGAGTTTTTTTTTTTTTCTTAAGTAGCCCTGGAGATGAATAAAATTTTTAAGAATTTATAGGAAAAATAATAAGAAAGTTATAAATAATTACGAGACTTATGCCATTCTGCTATAATTTTGATCTCCCTAACCAGTGATAATGGCCGTACGACTGAAATTCCAGAGTTATACAACAGACCTATAAATAGGGATAAATCACAGATGTCTTACCAGTTCTTGCTTCACTGGATGTTCCTTCGGATTAACTCCTTGGGTTGCCAAATAAACTATAAGAGAAAGATCACATTAAATAAAGTGGTATATATGATAGTAAGAGTGTTATAATAAAAGAAACCCTAGTTACTCAAAGAAGGAAAGGTGCATAGTTAATTCAATTTCAAATAATTTAACCTCTATGAAATATTAAGTTTGTATGTGGCTCACAGGCATCCTGTACTCTGACATAAAAGAAAAAAACATTTGACTGATAAGATTACTATAAAGGATAATTTTATGTTAATTGCTATCTCTTAAAAACAAATCGTCCTTAACATAATAATATACTTTCTAATGAACTACAAAGAAACATACATACCCCAAAACATGGAGTTTAATGTGTATGCAGAAACTAAATCCACCTTTGCTTGCTCCAGTGGGTCCAACTAAAAGAGAGACAAGAAAATGAAAGATATACACAAACTCTGAACACCAACAGATAACACTTTAAACTTCTCCCAACCACAAGGTATCAAAGGCATGTTTTTCTCACTTCCTTTAATCCAATAATAAAATGATCTAGAAATAATTTGCACAAAAATGTCTTCTTAAACCAGTGATTCTTTTTAGTTATTTTTGAGATTGTATTTTAATCACAACACTTCTCTCTTCCTTTCCGTCCCACCAAACCCTCCTGTATACCCCTCCCTGCTGCCTTCATATTCATGGCCTCTTTTTTTCATCAGTCGCTACTGCAAACTTACATGTATTTGTATATACACACATATACCCAAACATAACCAGTGCGGGGTTTTTTTTGTTTTGTTTTGTTTTCTTTTGCTAAAAATTTTCACTTCAGCCGGGCAGTGGTGGCGTACGCCTTTAATCCCAGCGCTCAAGGGGGAGGCAGGGGCAGGCGGATCTTTGTGAGTTCAAGGCCAGCCTGGTCTACAGAGCGAGAATCCAGGAAAGGCGCAAAGCTACACAGAGAAACGCTGTCTCGAAAAACCAAAAAATAAATAAATAAATAAATTCACTTCAGGGTATCATTTCTGGTTAAACAAGGAATTTTTACAATCCAAGAAAAATTATTCTAATTTGTATCAATTTCAGAGTTATAATCTGGGTTTTTATGTCAAAAGTAATTACTCAACATAAGCATTGGACATGGTTCACTTATATATAAGAAGCAGAACAAAATGCTTAAGCAATACAAAACCATTTCATTACAATTTTTGTACTGCATTGTTTCCAGAAACTTTGATATCATTACAATTCTTAAAAGGTCAAAGATGGGTTCCATAAAAAAAAAAAAAAAAAAAAAAAAAAAAAATGCTATCATGTCCTTGCTTTCCAAAATTAAATTCCCAATGCAAAAGTTTTGCAGGATGTTCTGGACAAATATACTCCAACACTTCTATGGCTGGAACCCCAGTAGGAAGACATAGACAATGCTAATCAACTGTTTCTTCCACATGTTACCGTCTTATGAAATTCATCTTCAGGAAACACATTTAAAATACCTTCTGCTGCGGGCGGTGGTGGCACACACCTTTAATCCCAGAACTTGGGAGGAAGAGGTAGGCATATCTCTGTGAGTTCAAGGCCAGCCTGATCTACAGAGTGAGTTCCAGGACAGCCAGGGCTACACAGAGAAACCCTGTCTCAAAAACAAAAGACAACAACAACAACAAAATACCTTCTGTAACAACTCATTTCTGGAGACAGACATCATGGTCTTCAGCATGTCATCCACAGCACCCAGGGAACTCTCCAGGGCTGATAAAGATTCGTGAATTTCTACAGGATAGTCCTCATTCATTTCTTCACCTGCCATTTTAACAACTGAAAAAAGAAGTTCTCAGAATTCATACTGGAGACAGAACTTTAGAAAGAAAATAAAAAGCACATTTACTTTTGAGTAAGGTTAGTAAGTGAATCTTGGCATGCAAGTCTAGAACAGCTAGCTACCTCCCAGCATCTCTTCCTAAAAGGCGCCTCTTTCCTGGGAGGGAGGAAAAACCCACCCAGGCCACACATCAAGCCCTTGAGATTTTCAAAGCTCTGAAAACATGATTCTAATACAACATATCAATAAGCAAAACCCATGTTCACCCAGATTCAGTGGCACATGCACTTGGGAAGTAGAGCTAGAGGATGAGGATCCAGGTCGCCATCAGCTACAGGTTAAGTTCAAGGCCAGTCTTGCCATCTCAGAAATAAAAATAAATGGGGGGGAAAAAAGCCATATTTTTTTAAAGCATTCTATTGAAGGCAAATTTTAAAACTGAAAGTCTGATAAACAAGTCCTCTAATGTTTGCTGAAGAAATCAACAAAGTGAGTTTGTCTGAAAATTTTTTATTTGATTTTGCTTTTTAAAACTTCGGTGTCATTCTGACAGTTCATTGTACTAAACTTAAAAAAAAAAACCCTAGATATGAAAAATCTTTATCAACTATCACTAAAATTACTTTTCAAGTTCAAGTTTATATATGTATTTATAGTCCTTAAGCATCTTAACAACAGCTGAGTACCAAGTTGGTTTTGGGAGGGGTAGTACCAGGTTGGTTTTGGGGGGGTGGTACCAGGTTGGTTTGGGGGGGTTAGTACCAGGTTGGTTTTGGGGGGTGGTACCAGGTTGGTTTTGGGAGAGTGGTACCAGGTTGGTTTGGGGGGGGGGGGTAGTACCAGGTTGGTTTTGGAGGGGTAGTACCAGGTTGGTTTTGGGGGGGGGGGGTGGTACCAGCTTGGTTTTAGGGGGAGTACCAGCTTGGTTTGGGGGGAGTACCAGGTTGGTTTTTTGGGGGGTGGTACCAGGTTGGTTTTGGGGGGGTAGTACCAGGTTGGTTGGTGGGGGGTAGTACCAGGTTGGTTGGTGGGGGTAGTACCAGGTTGGTTTGGGGGATTAGTACCAGGTTGGTCTGGTGGGGGGTAGTACCAGGTTGGTTGGTGGAGGTAGTACCAGGTTGGTTTTGGGGAGTAGTACCAGGTTGGTTTTGGGGGGTAGTACCAGGTTGGTTTGGGGGGTTAGTACCAGGTTGGTCTGGTGGGGGGTGGTATCAGGTTGGTTTGGGGGCGGGTGGTATCAGGTTGGTTTTGGGGGGGTGGTACCAGGTTGGTTTGGGGGTAGTGGAAGCAGACCCTTGAGCTTTCAGTGCTGCCTGCTGGAACACTGACTCTGTTAGGGGGGGGGGGGGGGAGGGGGGGGGAGGATCACTAAATCTCTCTGGGCTTCCAATTTTTCATTCACGAAATAATCTAGTTGATCTAATCTATAAAGTTCATTATCAAAATTATGGATAATTTTGTTGCATATGAAAATGGTATTACAGATATATGATGTTTGTTATTTAAGGATATATACTGAAGTACATGGTAATTAAAAACATGAAATTACATTTTAAAAAAGCAACCTTCCTAAACTAAAGAGCACAACAAGGATTTGCGTGGATTATTACAGTGAAGTCAGACAGCAGATCATCACACACTGAGTGCTGAAGAGGTTCAGCCGTGCACTGCAGGATGAAGAGAAGGTGAGCCTGGACCATTTACACAGCTAGCACAGGAGAGAGGGACACCTACCTGCACAGCTGCTCAACACCACTCACAATCTACTGCTGTCAACAAAGGCTGACATTTCAGAACGTTTGATTATACACAGAATGTCTTTAAGACACTCTAACTTCAGTGGGCAGGACAGGGCAGCTGCTTGGGAACTGAACCAAGGGCCTTAAGAATGCTAAGTATACACCCTTCCTCTAAGCTACACCTCCAACCTCAAAATACCACAATTCCTTCTATGTTTACCTGATTCTTTAAAATGTACCCATGTGAAAACACATAGATAGTTCTAAATATAATACTAAGGAAACATACCTGACACGTAGATCAAGTCTAAGTCCAAATAAAATACTAAGGAAATAACCTGAGCACAACAGGAAACAGAGCCTCTGCGAATCAATTTAACAAACAAGCAGAAATTACACACAACCCCAAAGAAAGAAGAAAAAGAAGCCATCAGCTCACAGAAGAATCCAGATGACTAATAACCAAAGAAAACTATTCAGCTTCACCAAGGAAACCAGAGAACAAGACACCATTTTTCATGTGTCAAACAGCATCTAATGTAAGCTAAAGTGGCCACCAACAGGCCCTTCTCACCATTAGCAGTTTGATTTAATTAAGCATCTTTTGGATTTGACACTCCATTTCAAAATCATATGTGTGTGTGTGTGTGTGTGTGTGTGTGTGTGTGTGTGTGTTCTTTGGCCCAGTAAATTTACTTCTCAGAAATGTACATTTAATTTACATGAAACAAAATGTTAATGTGCATCCACTACAATATTTCTCAAAACCTTAAGACAATGAACAACATGCATGCCTACTAATACAGACTGATTAAATAAATGATGCTATATCATCCAATAAAGGACTCTATAGTAGTGAAAACGCACTGAAGTTCAGTTTACAAAGATTTCCAAGATAAGTCAGGAATGAAAACTGAAGAGCAGCATAAACAATATATCCCACTTATTTCTTTACTTAAGAAACTAGTGTCCATACGGTGCTTAGTGTTGAGTGCAGATGATACACCTTAATCAAATAATCACAGAAACACAAAATTACAATGACATGAGGGGATAGCAGACATAACAAGACCCGACCTGTTCAAGAAAGCACCCTTCAGGGTGGAGTCAAGGAGACAAAACCAGGAGAGGACCATGGGGAAGGGAGTCTTCACCGCAGTGCCCTAACTAGGTATTGATGTTCAGTCTTCCTGAGCCCTGCAATGGCTCCCTACCCTTTCAGGACAAACAGGAAAGCAATTTCAAAGTCTGGCCCTCTCGTCCTTCAGTCTTAATTCCTATCTTTCCCTCACACTACCACAATTCTGGAGCTAGACCAGTCATCCAAGACAGAATCAGCTGTGGATCCCAGGAAAGAAGGCTTGCTAAAGCACCCTTCAAACAACTAACAAGGTCAAGGGAGGAGGTGTCTGAGGGGTGTGGAGAGGAGTGGGGATAAGTATGATTAAAATGTATTGTGTGCATGTATGAAATTCTCAAAGAATTAACGAATATATTAGAAAATACAACTGACTGGGAGATGTGGCAGGGCGAGAAGGGAAGGGATCAGCAAGTAAAACAATGAAAGTTCCCTGCAGGAGTGGTACCCTCTGGCTTAGGTCTTAATAGGGCTACTATGGCTGCTGTACAGGACAGAGGAAATCTAGGAGACTATGGAGGTGTTAAACTAGTTTAGATAAAATGACAGTACCAGCTACCTACTTAACTAGGCAGAAGGAACTGAAGGTGGAGAATAGCAGTCCAGTTTGGGTTGGATTTTGTAGGCAAAGGTAGCAGAATCCACTTATGGGCTGTTTGTGGGTTGTGAGAATAAGGTAAAACAACCAGAAGAGTGAAGCTGCTACTAACTAAGACATGAACTGACATGGTGGTACACGCTTAGAATCCCAGCACTTGGAAATCTGAGGCAAGAGGATCCTGAGTTCAATGCCAGCTAGACTATGGAGTGTTATTTTAAAAAAAAAAAAAAATCTCCCCTAAATCAAGATGGGCAAGCTTGTGGGAGTAGAACAGTATTCAGATGTTTGTCGAGTCATCAAAGTATTGAGTGGGAAGCTAAGTATAAGGAGTCTAGGATTGAGGGGAAGTGGTCACTGCTGAAATAAAAAATTGGAAATTGTCAATGAACAGATGGTATTTAAAGTCATGAGATAGGAATCCATCATTTAAGGAATAAATGAAGACAGAAAAAAGAAGTTGGTACAAGGCCAGAGTCCTGAGGTGTTGAATATCTCGTGTAACTTATTTAAGAAGTACACTACATACTATGTAATTTACCCTCAAGATCACAAGACTCACTTGAATCTATGCCAATAGTGCTCACCATCATGAGCACCATAACACACATCATTAACGTGCACACATGTGCACACATGCACAGACACACACACACACACACATACACACAGAGTTAACTGGAAACCAAGTTTGGAGAATCTTAACATCATGTCACAGTTTGGACTTACAGATATTAGAAGTTACTACATGGATTCAGGAGAAAAATATATGGTGATGTATATTTGGAACCTGTTTCCATTGCTATAGCAATTAGAGTTCCACATAGTTACCACATTAGTTGAGAGAAGGAAAATCCAACATATACTTGATTGATTTTTTTGGAACAAGAGCGCTATTTGCAGGTTGAGCATCATAGTTCTATTCCTATAATTATGTTTTATACAGCAGCACCTTAGAAAATAATGGTGAAACACACACACACACACACACACACACACACATATATATGTTCTCAATAAATGCTACTGTCTTGGTCATACAGTGATTCTGCTAGTGTTAGCTGTAATTTTCAGTAAAATCTGAAAATATATAAGGCTTCCTTTTCAAAAATGTATTAACCTCTAAAAACACATCACAGGAGTTAGAGAGATGGCTAAGTGGATAAAGCACCTACCCCAACCCCAAGCTTGAGGGCCGGAATTCAGATCTCCTGCACCCTCATAAATGTGGGGCAGGTATGCAGGGGGCCCAACACTCAGAAGGGAGAAACAGGGACTCACCTAGCAGCCTAGCTAGACTGGCTGAAGTCAGTGAGTCTCAGGTCCAGTAAGAAACACTGTGGAGGGTCACTCAATGAACAAAGTGGACAACGATGGAGGAAAACATCACACACAAACACACAATCCAAAACTCCAGGGACAAAAATCACATGAACTACAAGGCTGGAGAGATGGCTCAGCATTTAAGAGCAATTGTTTATCTTCCAAAGAATTCAAGTTTGGTTTCCAGTAGTCAGACTGGGAAGCTCACAACCACCTGTAACTCCAGCTCCATGGGATCTGATTTTTACTGGCCTCTGTTGGTACCCACATACATGTGGCATACACACAGGAAGAGCATATACACATAGATAAACAGAAATATTTTAAACACAATAAGAAAACAGCTTAAGACTGGGGTCACACTGGAAACAAATTCTATTCAATGCTTACTTCAATGAGTTCAAAACTAAAGTTAGAAAGCAGCAAAAACTACCTTCTCCAAAGCATGGAACTTGTTGATTGCAATTAAAGAAATGATAATAAGATTGTGATGGAGATTAAGTAAATAATATTGGTAAAACTCTTAAAGCTGTACTCTACTAGTAGAATACTCAAAACATTAGCTAATAATATTAGTTACTGCTTTATGAAAATGAAAATATCCAAGTTTAATCCAATGTAGAATACTTAGAGCCATATATAAAGGATTAAATGCTTGGAAACAGTAGCTACTGTTATATACATAGCAATTTAAAAAGTTAAAAACAAGAGAAAATTGTGTCATTACAGGTATTGGAAAGCATCTACAACATCTCTGATTTGAGGGATTCCATTTCTATTCTTTTTTTAAAAAGGACTGTTCACACTGTCATTTTATCTCGTAACAAAACAATGCAGCCTGTCGATTCTACCAACCACGAGTAGTTTTCTAAAGTTTAATAAGGCCTAGTTGTTATTTATAAATAAAAAGTGTATGGTTGATATTTGGTTCTGTGTACTCTTAGCCCAAACAGGTTAATAGCTAGACCATAAACATCACACCAAGGCAAATACACCATTTCCAAGCCAAAACTAAACTGTAGTCAACAAATTTTAAGTCATTAAACCTATCTTCTAACAGAAAATTGAGTCATGATGAACTTTCCCCAGACTATAAAGAAAATTTACTTTCTTGACATAATCAACTAGGGAGTCAGAGGGTGGCGGGACTGAGTTCGAGGCCAGCCTGGACTACAGAGAGAATGCAGAACACCCAGGGCAACACAGAAAAACCCAGTGTCAAAAAAAGAAAAATAAAATTAAGGAAGCCGTTATCTCAAGTGAGCTAACACTGCCACCGTAAGTATTCCGATCTTGGGCAGAACAGTAAGGACTGGGTGAAAAAAATTACTTTCCACCTTCCATCTTGGCCTTTCTCCGTTTAGATTTGAAATCAGCCAGAAACCGATGGCGTTGGGTTTTCACTGGTTGGTTTTCAATCCTTAAAAGGCAACGCTAACAATCAAAGCAAAAAAGGCAGGACTGAGAGAGAAACCAGGGTCCGAAGCAAGGCAGGGCCTGAGCCGCACGGACAGGCTCAGGGGACTGCCGGGACCACGCTAGCGGCGCCGGGGCCCCGCTGGCTCCTCCCGGCCGGCCACGGGATGGACGCGATCCCGGGGCGCGGGAAAGGGGACCGTAACAGGAGCACGACACTCGCCCGGACCCAGCTTTGCACTATACCTCAATACGGCGGACGCCCGTCTCCCGGAAAGAGGTCGCACGGTGATGACGCCATGACACTGCCTCCGCCTGCCGCGCGCGCGTCGCTCCGGGTCTCGCGCGTGCGTAGTTCAGTCCCCTGGCTCTCCCGGCCTCCGTCCCATCCCGAGGCCGAAGGCGGAGATTCTTAGAGTTTGTAAGTGGGAAGTGAGAGGAAGGAGGCCCTGGCATCTTGTGTAGATTAGGCTTCTGCTCTCACCTACCCCAGATGCAAGTTGAGTGTTCCCAACAGCTTTGTGCAGCTCTTTCGCTTGACGGAAACTGGGTCCAGAGCTCAGATTAAGCTTTTTGAGGAGCATCCAGATGCCTGGCCAGTGAAAATACAATTTAAAAAACTAAAAAAGCTAAATAGGGGTGCGGACATATGCAAAGTACAAGCCCGGGTTTTGTTATTTTGTTTCTGTCTTTGAGCCGGTCTCATGTAATATGAATTCACAACACTTCATGCGTGCTGGGGTAACAGGCTGTGGCACCATTCCCAACTGTGCTGGATAGTTTTATGTCAATCACACAAGCTAAAGTGACCTGAGAGGAGGGAACCTCAATTACTCACCACTCCCTCTTTACCCCTAACCATGGCCAACTGCATGCCAAAAAGGAAACTTCTCACCCTCCTCCTTTCTGCCCTATTACTATTCCATAATGCATGAATCTATTTAATCTTATCAATAAAAACCAGGAGTCAAATATCAGGGTAATAACCTGAAAGATCAGAGAAGCAAAGGAGCAGCCACTCGGACTTCTTACCTCTCTGGATCCTCTGACCGAATACGGGCCGAGAGATCCTGTCTCAACACGCTTTATAGTCCTGTCACCACCTCCCAAATTCTGGGATTAAAGGTGTGAGCCAACCGCCTGGCATCAATGGTTAACTAGTGGCTAGCTCCGCCCTCTGATCGCTAGGCAAGCTTTATTTGTCAGAACACAAACAAAATATTACACAATTCCAGCTTGTAAGGCAACAGCAAGCTTGGATTCCTACACAAACCTCCTATGCAGGTTTTTCCCATGTTTTCTTCCTACTGACATTACAATTACAGAATCCCACTGCACACAACTGATACTTAATTCATACATACTGACCACATGAGTTCAATATCCAAACTAATCTATAACCTGTTCATGTCATGTGACTAGTGTTGTAGCAAATGAGAAACTGAAGTGAAAGTTTCTAAATTTCATTCTCAATTTCTAGAACACCATTAACACAGGCAGTAAGATCAACAATTAATAAATGAGACCTCATGAAACTGAAATGCTTCCATATGGCAAAGCACACTGTCATTCGGACAAAGCAGCAGCCTACAGAATAGGAAAATATTTTTACCAACTATACATCTGATAGAGGGTAATATTCAAAATATAAAAAGAGCTCAAAAAATAGTTATCAAGAAAGCAAATAACCCGATTAAAACATTAGGTAGAGATCTAAAAAAAAAAAAATTACCAAAGGAGGAAACTCAAATGACTGAGAAACACTTAAATGTTCAACATTTTTAGCCATCAGGATTCAAAACAAAACTGCTTTGAGATTTCATCTTATACCCATCAGAATAACTAAGATCAATAAAATAGTGACAGCTCATGCTGCAAGAATGTGAAGGGGAGCACTCATCCATTGCTGGTGGGAGTGCAAACTTGTACAGCCACTATGGAAATCAGTGTGGCAGTTCCTCAGAAAAAAATGAGGATTGTTATACCTCAAGATCTAGCTATACCACTTCTATTAATTAGGGTTCTATATAGTAACAAAATTTATAGAGTGACAAAATTTATATATATATATATATGGGATTTATTAGAATGACTTACAGGCCGTGGTCCAGCTAATCCAACAATGGTTGCCTATGAATGGAATATCCAAGAATCCAGTAGTTGTTCAGTCCAGGAAGCTGGATGTCTCCCCTGGTTGTCAGTATACACTGGGATCCCAAAGAAGTGGACTCTAATGCCAGTGGACTTGCTATTGAGAGCAAAAACAAGCAGGCAAAGAAAAGAACTGTCTTCTATGTCCTTTTATAGGCTGCCAGCAGAAGGTGTGATCTAGATTAAAGGTGGATCTTCCCACCTCAAAAGATTTAGATTCAAGGTTTATCTTCCCAACCTTAAAAGATACCAATTAGAAGTGTATCTTCCCATTTCAAATGATTTAATTAAGAAAAAAACCCAACTGGGTGTGGTGGCACACGCCTTTAATCTCAGCACTTGGATGGCAGAGGCAGGCAGATCTCTGAGTTTGAGGCCAGCCTGCAGAGTGTGTTTCAAGACAGCCAGGGCTACTCAGAGAAACCCTGTTTTGAAAAGAAAATATAAAAAAATAAAAGAAAATGTGGTGCATTTGCACAATGAAGTATTACTCAGCTGTTAAAAAATGAAATCTCGGGCCAGGCGGTGGTGGCGCACGCCTTTAATCCCAGCACTCGGGAGGCAGAGCCAGGCGGATCTCTGTGAGTTCGAGGCCAGCCTGGGCTACCAAGTGAGTTCCAGGAAAGGCGCAAAGCTACACAGAGAAACCCTGTCTCGAAAAACCAAAAAAAAAAAAAAAAAAAAAAAAAAAGAAGAAGAAGATTCCTAAAATATACACACATATATAAAGTGATCTAAATGAAATCATCAAATAATAGGGAGACAGAGTCCCAACTGACCATCTCTTGTCACCAAATGAGCTTCCAGTACCAAGATTGGGTTACATCTAACTGAGTTGTTGGCCAAAGGGAATTCCTAAACAACTCGGGCTGTTGCCAAGATTATAGCTTTCTCTCCACAAATTGATGGCAAGGCCTCATTGCTGACAATGATAGCTACACAACTCATTGAACATCAAGCTGGTGCCTACATAGAGCTTCACCCCTATGTTCTAGTGTCTTTGGTACAGAAAGGCACTCTGCACAAAAGGAAATGTAAACACCAAGCCAGCCACAAACCCTTGGATCGACAAAGGTGTCCTGGCCACAAGACATGTTAATGCAATGGTGACACAAAGTTTGTGCAAGGAACCAACTAATATCTGGTTTGACGTAAGGCCCACCCATGAGAAGGAACCCATATCTGACACTGCTTGGATGAACAAGAACCTGAGGCTATACAGCCCAGGGACCTATGGTAAAAACAAATAATACTGGTCTTTTAAAAAAAAAAAAGTAGGGCTGGAGAGATGACTCAGAGGTTAGGAACACTGGCTGTTCTTCCAGAAGTACTGAGTTCAAGTCCCAGCACCCATATGGTGACTCACAACCATCTGTAATGAGATCTGGCTCCCTCTTCTGGCCTGCAGGGATACATGCAAACAGAAACACTGTATACATAATAAGCAAATAAATCTTTTTTTTTTTTAAAATAAGTAGCAAGTCAGTCAGTGGTGATGCAAGCCTTTAATTGTAGCACTCAGGAAGCAGAGGCAGGTGGATTTCTATGAGTTTGAGGCCAGCTTGGTCTACAAATTGAGTTCCAGGACAGCGAATGCTGTTACACAGAGAAACCTTGTCTGGAAAACACACACATACACACACACACACACACACACACACACACACACACACACACACACACACACGTAGCCTTAAAATGATTCCTAATGACATTCTGCTATACTTGTAGATCAGTGCCTTGCTCAGCCATTGTCAGAGAAACATCCTCCTGCAGCAGATAGGAACGAATGCAGACACTCAACACTGAATATTGTGAAGAGAATGGGAGATCTTGGAACACTCAGCCCTAAACAGGATGTCTTCATGAAATTCCTCCCCTCAGGGTCCAGAGAATCCTGAAGAAGAGGAGGCAGAAAGAGTCCTTAACCTTGGGACTAAAGACATCCCTCTCCTGAGGGGTCAGGTATCATCATGGAAGGGGCAGGGGGAGACAGAATGCTTTTAAGATCCATAGGCAGTGGATGACCGCAATGAAATAGTGTTGTCTGCATATGAAAGGCAGTGTCATATGAATTTACAGTGACTGTGATCAAATGCACAATTCTTTTTCAAGATCAAGCAAGATAAAATCCCAGCATGGGAGAAGGAAAGGTCACGAAATCGCACCCCTAGGTGTTATGCCCAGATTGCAACCCCAAAGAGACCACTGAAGACCAAGGATGTCCAGAATGCAACAGCAAGGTTTATTCTATAGATACAAGCCTAGGCAGGGAGCTCATTCCTACACCCAATACAGTGAGGCAGGGAGGAGTTGCTCTTCCTTTGTGAGGCTAGCTATTTAAAGGCAAAAACTGCAAGCCCTTCAGGGTGGTTGGGGGGTTGGAGGTTTGGCACGGGTGCAACTCGGATTGGTTTATTTTTATTTTTGAAGGTCTCTGTTCTCTTTTAATTGGGTGAGGGTATGTAACCTTTGAATTTACTGGTTGGGGGTTACAATTATCATTTTGGGGGCTGTCCGGGACAAGTCCCAGGCTTTGTCCTTGAGCTGCCATGGGGGCCGGCTGGCCTAGCATGTTCGCCTTGACCCATGCACGTAGCTCTAAGTTGGTGAGGGGTCCCAGACAGTAAATAACTGGCTGAACCTTGAACAGTCAGAGTACGTGCAGAAAGGGAGCTACTGTAAGGACTATCTATG